TGGCGTATGGTTTCTAACAGCTGACTTTGCAGTGAAGAGCCCAACGAGGCACCCATTAAGTTACCAGGGCTCCTTCCGTTGAGCAGCAGTTTCTCTGAAAGATGGGAAGGTTGGGGTGGGAATGGGAGACGGGGAAGCTAGGCTAGTGGGAGCGGGTCAGGCAGAATGGGAACCGTGAAAACAGACAGACACGCTTTGCTTGCCCATCCAGTTTTCCAATTTATTGAACGTGGAGACTTCCTCCCAGAGGTCTGGATCCGTTATGAAGTAGACATGTAAAAGTGTCGGCATGGCCTATGTTCAGTTACTTGATGGTGACCAGAGGTTACGGAGGTGGACTCCCGACACCCTGGCTTTGTAACGTGAGCTGTGTGACCCTGGGGAACTCAGCGGCGTCTCTGGGCCTCAGCTCCCTTCTCAATGTCATTGGGCTAAAGTGGACCCTAACTTATAGAGTTGTCATTAAGGGTTAAATGAGGCGATGCCTGTCAGGTTCACAGACCAGCTCCTAGGAGCCAGGAAGGTTCCACAAGTCGTTACCGTGACTCTCCTTAGGATCGAGCCCCTAGAACAGACGTCAGATACGGTGGGCTTATTGGCTTTGTTTTTTATGGGAGGAGCCAGTGTTTTAAACATGAGACCATGGACTTCTGGTTTGGAGATGGGAAAACCACGGGTGGAATGCTTCGGTTTCGGGATTGGTATCCGACATAATGTTGGGTCGATTGTGAGAACGTGCATAGGGTGTTCATAGATGGTGAGGTAGTTAGTTTATTTTGCCAACCTGGCCGATAAACACATGTGGGGTTAATTGAAGGGCGGAGGGATAAATGGCTCGGTGAGCCTCACCTTTCTAGTTCTCACCATCAGCTTTCTTCACCGCATTTACTTATGCACCCATTTTGTCTACAGCAATCCTGTCGGGAAGGTGAGCATCAGACCTGAAACTTTATAACATGTTCTAGTAAACATGTACCCTGAGCATTTCTCACTGACATCAGACCTTGTTAACTTCCTTAATAAACTCTCTAATTATGTATTTTTGTCTGTGAGTTTCTGTGTAGCTGTGTTAGGCAGGGTTCTCTAGAGAAACAAAACTGGGGCACTTATGGCTATATATATTGTGTATATTATATATAATATATATGTTTATACGGTGAGAAGGAATATAACAGCTAATTAGTCCACACAGCAGTAGAGAGCGCTCAGTTCAATTCATTTCCATGGAACAGTTAATATACTGGGAGTCCTTCAACTCACCTGAGCTGCTGGGTCCAAGGTCAAGGAAGCAGACAGAGGACTCGTTCTTCAACAATACAGGCAAAGTCTGTCTGCAGGCAGCAGATTTCAGGGTGGGTCAACAGCAATCAGCAGCACAGGAGCTTAGCAAAGCAGGCACCCATGTGATCTTGAGTTCAAGGGATTCAATGGACAGGATCCACCAGCCTGAAGCTCAAGTGATCTACGCACCAGCAGTGTGGCAAAGCAGGTCTTGAAGGAGCCTCAAGCTTTAGCAACATGATCCACAGGTTGGTTGGGCCCTCAGGTAGTGTAGCTCATGGGTTGAGGCAGAGAACTAGCTAAAGCAGCAGCATGCCGGTCTAATCACCAGGGAGCAAGAGAGATATGGAATATCAGCCATCTTCATTTATCTCGGCAGGCCTGATCAAATTCTGCCCACATGTACCGATTGGCCTAATTGGCACAATAAACCTAATTATCACAGTAACCATTGCAGTGGGCATTAGAACCCAAAGAAGTGAAACATACTATTAATGAAGTCAGGACATGAGTGAGATGGGAAACAGTGAAAGTGGGTGGGGGGGAGGGCAAATGGGTTGACAATGACAACAGGTGAGGCAGAAGGTGAGAAGGGAGAGGGTAACTGAAGGTTTGGGTGCTGATCAACAAGTGCCAGTGAGGAAAACCAAGTCAAACTCACCGCCATCAAGTCCATTTCCAACTC